GGTCTTGACGTGCATCTCTCTCCAGGCTTTGCTGATATCCGGGACGAGGGAAAGGTCGAGCTCGTAAGCGCCGGTAGAGTTGGGCGGGCCAGTGCCGAACTTCTCGAGGAAGGAAACTTTGCCGGTGATGGTCTCCATCGTCATCAGGGGAATGGTCACACCGCCAATAAGGTTCTCGTAGACACCGGCACTGGCAGCATCGGTACCGAAGTTCCATGAGTAGAGAGGCGTAGTGCCAGTCCAGAAGTAGGTCGAGAGGCGAGCACCACCACCGCAGATGGAGCTGCGGTTTCCAGGGCAAACAATGTTGCACTCAGAGTCGTCGACAAAGGCGGCCTTCTGGGTGACGATATTGGCAGGGTCACCACAGTAGCATTCTTCACCATACTCGAGTCCGGCTGCCATGTATCCGTACTCGGCGCACCTGTCCAAGCACATACCGGCCGTCATGGTACCGGGAAACAGGTTCTGCCAGTAGAAGGTACGCGGGTTAGGCTGAGCTCCGACATTGTCCTGAACACAGCCCTGGTAGGTCCAGCTTCCGTTGAAGCCGCTTCTCTGGGGAACGGGCGGAGCGTATGTCTGAGGAGTGCCCTTGGAGATGATGGTCATACGATTACCGCCACCGCACATTTCGGAGGCCTTACCTCCACAGGCAGTGTTGCAGGATGTCGGGTCAGATGCCACAGCACCGCCGTTGTAGATGGCGTTACCGCAGAAGCACTGAGTGTGATACTCGGCACCAGCGACAGTGTAACCGGCATCGGAACAGGCCTTGGCGCAGGAAGCGAGGGTCATTGCCGGGTCGTCTTGAAGCTGGTTGGGAAGAATGCGGCCTTTCAGGTTGTCGACCCAGCAGCCCTGGTTAGTCCAGCCAGTGGGGAACCCAGTGGCAGCGGGAGCTGCTGTAGAGCTGGTAGATGAAGCGGCACCAGTCACTGAGCCACTGACAGTTGAAGATGAAGCTGACGAGGATGAGGACGAAGACTGAGTTGCGCTTCCAATGGTGTAGACAGAAAGGCGATTGCCCTCTCCGCAGTACTGGAACTGGTTGCCCATGCACTTCATGGAGCACTGGCTAGACGGAGCAGCGACTGAGCCAGCGGCAAACGAGTTACCACACCAGCACTCGCGAGAGTATTCGACACCGAAGAAGGTGTTTCCATCGCAGAAAGCAGCACACTTCTCCAAAGTCATGTCGTCAGAAGCGGTTGTCTTCGCGCTGAGAGCACGGGCGTTGGTAGCTTCAGTCTGGCAGCCATACCACTTCCAAACACCGACAGTCGCGGGTTGACTGGGGCCAGTCGGGGTGGGGGTCGCGGAGCTGCTGGAGGAAGAACTGGAAGAGACAACAGTGCTGGAAGAAGATACAACACTGCTAGATGAGGAAACCACGCTGCTGGACGAGGAGACTGCGCTGCTGGACGAGGAGACTGCGCTGCTGGACGAGGAGACTACGCTGCTAGACGAGGAGATTGCGCTGCTGAAAGAGGAAACAGCAGTGCTCGAGGAAGTGCTGGTGCTTGAGCTGGAGGTCGAAGCACCTGTTGGCGCAGGGGTAGATGTTGAGGTGGGAAGAGGCTTGTACTGGTGCTGGAAGTCGTAGACATTCAAACGGTTGGGGCCACCACAATACTCAGAAGAGTTGCCGTTGCAGAGCATGTTGCAGCCATCGACGGCAGGGGCACCGCCGTTGGAGATGGTGCTGCCACAGACTGGTAGCATAAGTGTTAACGATTTACTACGAGAATCACAAGCGCAAGGAGAACTTACAGCATTCGCCAGAGTATTCGACACCAGCGAGGATGAAGTTAGCATTAGCGCAAGCAGCAGTGCACTTGGCAACGGTCATCTCGCCACCAGGAATGCTTCCGATTCCGTACGTGAGAGCACGGCCAGTGGTTCCCTCTCTATTGGTCTTGTCAATTGTGTGGTCTTGAAGTCGTCGAGGCAGTATTCAACTCACGAGTAGCACCCAATGCTGCTCCAGTCGCCAACACCGGGGTTGACAGAGGGGCCCAAAATGAGGGACGTCTGATATAACGACAGTCGGTTGGGGCCTCCACAAGGCTGAGTAGCGTTTCCGCTGCATGGCGTTGAGCAGTCGGCCTCGTTGGCGAGAACACCGTCCTTGGCCAAGGCATTACCGCAGTAGCATTCATTGTAGTACTCGGTACCAGCGTAGGAGAAACCCTTGTTGTAGCAGTACGTTGTGCAGGCATCGTTGCTCATCTGCCCATTTGCCGTGGTGGCATCAGAGATTGTTCGGCCGACATCGCTATTGTTTGGTCAGCACTTTGAGTTTTGTTCAGAAGCCTTTCTCACGGGTTATCATACACATAACAGCCCTTGTAGGTGTAGCCGTGAGGGAGAGTTGCGGGAGGCGCCGCGCGTTTGTAAATGCCAGGTGGATAAGCGAGTGCATTAGCGAGAGAAGACGCAGAAAGAACAACGAAAGACAACTGTGTGGTCCTCATGGTGACAAGTGTGTGCCAAGAGGCAGAAACCAACACAAGATGTTGATACTAAGGAGTGTATAGAAGAGGTGAAGGGTGAAGAGGAAAGAGGGTCATGATGAAGCCGGGAATCATGAAGGTATATATGAATTTCGATTCACGGCATGGGCAATCTCATGTGGCAGCGAGTGGCCCAACACGAAGGAGCCCTAGGGAAACGGGTACGCGATAGACCCGACTAGGCTCCCGGCGACTTCTACCACCTCGAGAGAGAGGCGATACCCCCCTCGTGGGCCAGGGGTTCCCGGAAGGTTGCAACGGAACAGAGTCCAAGAAGGGGACTAGGGGTTGCCATACTCACATGGAGGGCTAGTACACAAGAGTATCAGTAAGGCTAACCGGGGAAGCCAGATGGGCGTAAGCTGTGCACTTGCAGCATGTAGTGTGGGATTAGCCTACGTGGTGGGCCGGGAGCTGACTTCTTGGTGCCAGGCTGGGATGATGGGAGAAGACCGAGGTTACTCGTAAGGGGTGGAAGAGAGAATTGGGACATTGTCAGGTCGCGAACCTGGCTTGAGGGCTGAAGACGATACACACGAGGCGAGAACAATGAGAAAGAACTAGACGCTAGCCGTGAATAACCTCTCGACTCATTACGCCTGGGTAAGAAACCGTTAGCCGCCCTGGACCATTCCAGTGGTGCCGCTCTCGCTATTTCCATAGCTATGTCTGTGGCAGATAATATTGTCCGTCTCCTCCACTTAGGTGTGAAGGAGCGAAGCGCCTTGTGTGTGCGAGACGGCAAGAAGGGGGCAATATGGGAGAGGGGCGTTCTAAAGCCCAGAGTAGGAGGCTTCGTGGCTTCGGACTAAGGGACGGTTGTATGGCCAGACGAGAGGCAGAAAACGCCGGGCTCCCAGACCAGCTCTTGGCCCAAATGACAACCTTGAATATGTGGAGATTAAGCACCAGACGCAAGGAGATGGGCAGAAAAGACCAGACTGAAAGGTGCGTGCGCTGACTTTGTTGCAATTCGTTCAACTGGCAAGTGACGGAAAGATGTGTGTGTTGTGTTTTCTCCAAGATGCGCGCTTTGGGACCAGGGTCGTCGAGCAGACTAGCGCCAGAGGGGTTCGTACCCGCGGTACCTTGGGATGATGTGGGGTCTGATCATGCAGGGGCCACCCCAGTCAGCACTTGGCCATCTCTCTTTCCGGCAAGGGGGCAAGGAGCAGGGAACTGATGTTATTGCCATTCTTAGCCGTTGTATTCTTACCAAGTACCTTACCCAGGCAGCGACGAGAACGAGATACGAAGACGCTGTCGCCGTTGTAGATGCAAGGTTCTTTCCTACACAGTTTTGTGGCTGGAATACGAGTAAGAGACTTTAGGTCTGGTTGGCACCAAGACCCGAGGATATCCTTACTCATCCAGGATGTAGGGTGTTATTTGTGTTTGCTTGTGGTATCCATTGCCTCAAGGTGGGATCTTCGGTGAAGAAAATTCCGACATTCGCCGCGGTCCCATGAGCAGATCCTCTTGATCCCAACACCATGCCGGTCCATGATCTCGATACAGAATTACAGGGCAACAGTTACACGTCAAACATTCGGTCGTGGAACTCCAAACTCACGAAGAATAGAGCAAAAATGGTCAGTGAAGGGTCTGGAACCACGACACCCGAGTAATTATTGCCCTGGCCAAGCTTGTTTCCTGAAGCACTACATGAGCCGCACCGCAAGCCATCTCGAATGCGGCTGAGAAGTAGTGCTGGTGACGATCCCACGCCTTTGATGTTGCTTGTTATTCTGGGCTCGGTATCCTAGAGATGGAAGATCTAAAACTCGAACTCCTCGTCTGCGACATTGTGATTTACGAGCCGCATCCAAATTTGGAGCACGATAGCACCCGTTTCAATGACAAAGGATTTTCATCTAGAATGGGCCCGAGGCGTTGCGTCGGTGGAGCTCTGCCGTGGTTGACCAGACATCAATGTCATTGTGGGCTGTGAGAACAAAGGCCAGCAAGAATTACCGCTGTGGTACCGGATGCTTGGGAACTTGGTTTGCTGCCAAGAAGTGTCAAAGGAGGGAGCGAGGCTTTTCCTTCTCCATTGATTCGAGCAGTCGGCCGTAGTTCTCGTCCGAAGCCCAGCAACCGCTCTCTTGGCTTGAGATAGCCGGGAGAAAACCCCCGCCCAGAAAGTGTCTAATAACCGAGACCCGTTAAGCCATTGCGATGCGAGTTAGACAGTCGATGGCCAGTGCTTTTTGTATCAGTTTCTTGCCATCGGACGATACGAGATGTTAGTTGCTGACTTGCAGTAGATTGGACGAGTCAAGATGACTTGACTTTTCCCTTTGACTGGCATTTCGACCGGCGGCAACCAGGTCCCCTGACCCGTGGACCCCGTGGACTGTGGTGCGGATTCACGGAAGGAGGGACCCCTGCAACTCCACACTTGAAAGGTACCTCCCTAAGTATATTTCTGCATCTTCGATGCCCTGGTACCCTGTCATTCTGGTCACCTTAATCCAGATTAGGTTAAGTGGGTAACGTGGGATCGAATGCCCCTGCGCGAAAAGGGGGTGGATAGAGGAAGGCGTGAGATTGAGTTGCTGCTTCCAGTTCAGAGCCGTAATCCTGTGCCGCCTTCCTGCTGTTGAACATCCGATGTTTCCACGTTAATCTGATGCTGGCAACTGCCTTCTTGCCCAAAGCGAGTGCCGCCGCCAAATACCTACCGTTCTAAACGATGGAAAGTAACAACCTGGAAGCTACCTATCTGAGGGAGGTACGGATGGACCTTTCCGTCCTCACCTTCCTTCCGTCAGCGGAATGGCAGTAAGGTACATCCCGAGGCCTAACACAGAAACGCCTAGTGTGTATCCGTCCCATTCTCCGAATCCTCCGGTAGCCACACCGTCCACAAACACAAGAATAAACTCGAACTGGACCACGTTACCAACGACACGGTAACGAGCCTCGTCCGTTGATATCAAACGTAAAGACGTACGGCGTAGTCGGATGCAGACAAGTAAACCTAAAGCTAAACCTTTGGAGATATCCACACCGTTCGATATCACATCCCACTATTCAGTTCAGCCTTGAAACCCGGCGTGGGAAGTGTGTAACGGCCTGCAGTTCGTGCAAGACATTGCAGCAAGTTTCTTTTCAAGTTTCGATCCAGCATACGACAAGGCGCTCCCCAGGCTCCTCACAAACGCCTGGAGATCTCTTTCCCCCGCTCTAGGCAGAATTCCCTGCTCTCAGCTACGGCTGGAGGGACAGTTCTTGATTCGACCTGGCCAACTCTCCCAAAGTTTCTCCACTTTAGCGCTGCAGGCCCAGATTGCCCGGTTCGTATGTGATCAACTCGCACCTGGTCGGGGCTTTGTGATCCGTACAATTTCCGCCATCATTTGCTGTCGTCGAGGCGCCCACACTCCGGAATAGCTGAGGCCACGCAGGTGTCATTATTGACAAATGCTGACCACCACCTAGAAGACCTGCATTAGGATACTGCTCGCCGAGACAACCTTATCGGTCGGAAACTTGGCACTTGATCGATAAGGTACGTTCTCAGTCACGGCAAAAGATTGCGACCGATCTAGGGGTCAACAGTTGCGGAAGCGTTTACAAATCGAAAGATTCCACGATGCAGTCCTCTCTACGCTGATTTACCGTAACAGAAAAGCATGTACGTTAGACTGAATGTACTTGCGAAGAGCCACGAAACAACCAGCCGACATCGATGAAGCCACGAAGTAACTAAAGCTTGACGAACATCTCGACTGAACCGCCCCGCGGTTACTCGTCCGCCACTCACCCAGAAACGAGTCCAACGACTCAGTTGCCGGGAAATGTCCCAAACGCTGATTAACTCTATTTGAGTCAACTAGCTACTTGGCTCGGCTCAATAGCGTCAGCCAAACCAGCAGCGCTGGGCGAGGCCAGCCTCGACAGCCCCGACAAGTCGCAAGCCACTTCCTGTGCCGCCTTACCTTTTTCTCTTCCGTCGATGATACAAACGCCTCATGCCTTTCTGCATGGCTCAAGAGCCTTCTCTCGAAAATGACTGCAGTGGATGCTTGGGCCTGTTCCTGAGGTTGCAATCTGATGTGGCGGCCAAGCCAACCAATGCCAAGCCGGCCTTTCTGTCAGATGCACAGGAGCTGACAATCATCGCAGCTGCACGTATGCATGTAATGCATGGCGATGTGACCTCAGAACCTCGTATACATACCACATTCTCAAAGATCGCGGGGTCTTGAATGGCCTCTTTGCCACGATGCAAGTGGGAGCTTTGGCCCAATTACACAGAGCTGGCCAAAGACTTTGGCGAGCAACCAAGATCGAAAATGTCCAGTCTTCATGACGGAATCAAGTAACACAACCAGCGCGCTTTCAATACACAGACTGTCATCTCTGACGTTGTTGACATGGATCGGAGAGATTCGTCCAAGCAAACCTGGAGAGGTTTCTCCGCCGCTCGTTAATGTCTCTGAACTTGTCTAGCCTTACACCAACTACCGCCAATACTCAAGTTTCTTCACGGCCGGCTTGAAGCAGTCAAGGTCATGGACACTAGGTACCTTATGTGGTTATTGCCCGGAGAGCAGCTCAATCAACAGCCGAGTCCCAGTGGTTTGGGAAAGCACTCGGCGGCGTTGAAAGTGGCCAGCGCCACCCTTGCTGGTTCACATCGATGATCGAGGGCTTGAGATGTCGTCGCTCAAGACACTTGGACATCAAGTTGCGTTCTTTTCTCTATGTTCTGGGCCATCTTTGGCTTTCTTTACCTGCCGGTCAACGGCCGTGACTTCCATTTTGGGAACTAATGCTTGCCGATGCTGACGTGCTGCCTCCTAGCGATTACCGCCAAATATTGAACACCATGGGAGAAAATTCCTCTTGGGTCAACTTTTGCTTCCACAATGCATCTAGCGTTGGGATATGAGACGGCCATGGCCGACGTCCCCCGACATTTTAACATTAGGCCTACGCGGAACCCCGCCTTACTACGCCGATGCCTTATCTTTGAATTAAGGTCGGCTGGACGTTCCAAAAGAGTCTAATCAGACTCGTGGAATTTGTGAGCGGGATCTATCAGCTCCTCCCTTTGACCCCTGACTAGTGGCTCTATCCGCAAAGTTGTACTCTAGAACTGTTGGCACCGCTAGCCCAAACAATAGTCTGTTTCCTCCTCTCAGCTCTCCACACTACTCACTCGCATCTTCAGCCTTGACAACGCTGTTTGTTTTTCACCACATGAGAAACTCTTGCCACTGGCAAAATATCAAGGCTCAAGATCGACAGCAGTGATGAAGTGTGCAGTGTAGGTCGCATACTCTGACAGATGTGCAGGCCTCTTGGCAACAATCGGCTTTTGGCCCATCCGAACTCGACCTCTCGCACAGACTGCGGAGTTAAACAAGCCAGTTCTCATCCATAATCTCGCGAATTGAAGAGTTCGTCCGAAGAATGGTCCGCTTGCTAGGTGTCACCCGCGCCGCCCGAGCGGTCCTGAAGCTGAGATCTCGCCCACGGTCTCTTGCTTGATTGAGCCTCGAGAAGTGATGTGATCACGGACCTGCACTGGCGTCCTAATGGTCTGGATTCTCATTTCCACATTGCCAATCATTTGCACATCTTCAATGGACTCTTATTGGGCATTCTACGCAGGGGATCTCTATGGGCCACGACAGCCTGCTCTGCATCGATCTGCACTGCGCTGGCATCTTTGCCAAGAAGCACAAGCAGAAGCCATTTCTCTCGGCATGAGGTCTCTTGGTGATACCAAGCTTTGTGGCATCAGGCTGGGAGCTCTGTGCTGGCTTCAGGTGCGGGAAAAGCTTCGAGTTACGTGCGGGAATACATGGGAGCAGTTACTGGAATGCGCCACGATGATATTTGGATGCACTGCTTGGCACGTGTTCGTCGAACTTAAAGAGCGCATGATATCCCCGGTGATCACGCAGATCGTACGTGTGCGACAAGAGAAGAATATCGTCGGTTGACCAACTCCCACCGCCTTGTCCGACAAACAGGATTCCAAGTGTCACCATGGTACAAGGTGCTTGACCGCGACTTTAAAATAGCCGTCTTCAACGACACAAAACGAGTCCAAGACGCCAGCCTGAGACAAAAACGGATCATGTCGCGGGAAGCTCAGTCAGGCAATATGTGTCAGCCATCTTTTCGAGCCCCGATGTCTTGCCGGCTGTGACGGCTACGAAAGAATGGAACGCGATGCCCGACAGCCGCGTCTGCAGGTTATTACCTTTCAACAAACAAACCTTATTGCACCGTTGAACAACCCGCAGCCCTACCGATCTCGTCAGTTTGGGCGCCGTCACATCCGCGGAGGAGGAATTGGTCCCGATGACCACAGCCGAGTTACACAGATGTGCTGGTGGCCGGCCTATTTCGATATTGACAAGAAAGGCCCCGAGAGCTACTTACGCAAGTCCGCTACTGAGTGGAAACTATCTTTTAATTCGGCTCTGTCAAGAGGATGCATCGAAGAGGATTTCAAGGTGGTTTTGTAATACCGTCAGGCAAAGCAGCTGCCCGGAGCTACGTTACCTGCAGTAGGCGGCGGGCGGGCTTTGACGTTGGCGGGCCCATTTCAGGTTGCTGCGATTAAATCCTTATTTATTTTTTTCACCCGCAGCCGTTGCAGATCTGCTAACGTTCGAAAGGCCCCAGCGATGGTCTCGATCTCAATCTGCTAGCTACTACCGAAAACGACGCGAGCGAAAAGGTAAAGGGAACAGGCCCGCGTTTTCAAAGAAAGATCAACAACGTCGTCTTCAAAGTGGAAACGCGGAGTCCCCTTGCCTCTAGGAAACTGCAAGGGCCCACGATTGGGAAAAGGTTATTTCGTGTGCAGGGCTCTTTTTCTCGGAAGCTGTGTGAGACATTTCTGCTTGGAGCATCTCCCAGACCCAATTCGAGCATGGTCCGCTTGCCGATCTCGACTTTTCTTTTCCGGATTTTTGAGACAACTCGACCAGGGCCAATCGTCGATTATCGAGGTTTTACTAGTGCCGATTTCTTGAGGAGAGGACTTCGATTCATCGTCCGCTCATTCGTCGACATCTTTGCTTTTTGCTGAGACATTTGGACTTGGCAGGGAAGATACTGCAACTGGACGGACAACCCTGCGCTCTGGTAGATTTTCTCTCGCTATGTGGAGAATGTGATAGCTGGACTCGCCCAGCTACGACTTTCTCAATGTCAACTTGCTCGACTTGCCGCGGAATCCCTCTACCGAGACACAGAGTATCAAAATTGCCTTGAGGCTGGTGAAAGCCATCTGGAAGTGTTTTCTCCGACACTGGTCACCCCTCGTCCCGCTACAGATTCTTTCCTCCCTTTCTATTCGGAACCAGCGTGGGACTGGAAGCTTGCCTCGGGACTAATTCCTCCCTTGCCTTTGCATAGACAAAATAGGTAAGATGGGTTAGTCAAAGATTTTCATCGCTAGATGGTGCAAGAAGCAAAAAAAAACCCGGCGGGAATTGAACACGGAAACAATCGTCAGCACAGCAATGTCTTGTGTCTCCATTGACTTTGCTCGGGAGGATTGTGGAACGGATGACACCCGCAATTCTTTTTCGACGTCTTGGGACTATTTTGACAATAGTACTGTACTTTGGTGGTTTGAGTTATCGGGTTGCGAAGTCGACAGAAGTTTCATCTCAACATGTTCCGTATAGTCGAGGCGGCAATATCTTTGCAACAACACCGGCCGTTTTCCTTCTTTCAGTGTAGTTTGTGAGAAGTAGTCGTATAGAGGTCATACTGAAATATCAATCGATATCGATTTCAATGAGTTGTACGGGTAACACATTGTGCTCGGATACGTGATCCCAGCGCGCATGGCCAAAGGGTTTCTCTCGCGTAGCCTGGCAATCTTGACGAATTTCATATGGTTAGCATATGTCAGGATCTTAAGTCTATCTAATTACCATGTCTTGATTATTCTAGTTTGACTTAATTCAGTGGACGACAAGTATCATTGTAAAGAGCGTACTGTTTGACTCTTCGGGTTCGAAACTATGTGCAGGTATCTGACATGGACAAACTTTTGCGATATTGGATTATCAGATGAAAGAGTGAAAAAGTTGGATCTCTACAACGTCAGTCCTAGCAGCCAATCGAGTCGAGTACATATACTAAGAATGAGGTGCTTTCATGGAATTACCATTTATCAAAATGGCAACCGGAATTCAACATATTTGCTTTTCTAACATGAACACTTGGGTCATCAAGAGACTCACAAACCGCATCTAACAACTTTGAGGAAATCTGACATCAGATAAGAAATATAGAAGATCTAGAGAAGGCAGGAGAATGGTGTAACATCAACCCAGCAGGAAATTTTCTCCCCTAAGGAAAGCATCCCATCGCCCCTTTTCCGAAAGCCTCACAACTTTCCACCACTTATGCGCACGCAGCAGTCGCAGCAGCAGTGGAAGTAGCAGCCGGCGCACCACCGCTGAAAGCACCAGTACCGCTAGGCATTCCACCGCTGGGCATGTCACCACTCAGTCCACCATCCGACTCGCCCTCGACCGCGACACCGCCCGCCTCAGTCAACTCGAAATCGTAGCTGGTCTCGTAGGAAGCAGAGCGGTTGACGCCGATCGTAATCCAGCCGAAGAGTCCGTCGGCGACGTCGTCGCCCAGGTAGGCGTAGTCGAAGAAGGGGTCCGAGTCGGCGTTGGAGCCGAGCTGGCTCGTGACGACGTGGTCGTCAGCGTTGAGGGTCACGTCGACGGTGTTGAGGGTGTAGGGGTAGAGGGACTCGACCTCGGTGATGAGGTCTTGGTCCCAGAAGAGCTGGCCGATGTGGGCTGCGTGGGAGGAGGAGAGGGTGTTGTTCGGGAGGACTGTCGCGTCGAGGAAAGCGACCTGGTTTTGCGTGTGTTAGTATGAGATGCCCTCTGGTTGGGGAAAAGAGGTTGAGGATTTTGCTCTCTGGAGAGAGAACTAACCATGTGGTGATGCGTCGCGCGGCCATCATAGTGACCGGGGAACTTGGTCGTAAACTGCACCACACCATCGGCGTCCGTCTTCTGAATACCGCGAAGGAACGCCTTATCCAGGTTACTCGCGTCATTCACATCGCCGTTCATGGAACTCTGCACGCCAGAGTAGACGCCCGTAGCATTGCAGTTCCACAGATCCCAGTACAAATCCGTAATCGGCTCGCACGTCTCGACATCGATAAACTGCCCGTCGAGAACGACATCCACGCCCTCCTGGTCGTCGCGCAGGTCGGAGCGCAGGTGCTCCCCCTTTACCCAAAAGGGGCCGATCTCGCCCTCCGGGTCGAGAATGCAGGTGTGGTTGGAGCCAAAGAGGTCCGCGGACGCGGTGGAGGTGTCGATGCCGACGTGCGAGGAGGTGAGGTTGTGGCCTACGCCCGCGCTGTCGGTGGCGCGCTTGCGGATGGCGCGGTGGTAGGCGATGGCGTCGGCGCGGCGGACGAGGGCGCGGGCTTGGAGGTCGCGGTAGACCTTTGACGAGGAGCAGGCTTCGAGGCCGCGGCGGGCGAGGCCGTGGTGGGCGTGGCGGGAGGCGAGGAGGGAGGGGTGGGTTTCTTCGTGGTGGCCTGGGTGGGCGGTGCCGAGGAGGGCGGAGGTGAGGACGAGGAGGACGGCGGGATGCATTGTTCGTTGTTGTTGTCTTTGGGGGGAAAGAGTGGTGGTTTCGTTGTATAAGTGAGTGAGTAAGAGTCGTGAGACTGTGAAAGAGAGTAAAGGTTTGGGAAAGACCTGTGTGATAGCTTCTCAATGCTTGGATTGCTGATGTCTCATTCTTCTCTTCTCTCGTCGATGGTGATTCGACGATCCTTATATACTTCCATCTCGTTCAAGAGGCCTCTCTCTCCTTTTCCGTTGTCTCCCACTTTGGCGATGCTTGCTTCTGCGTTGTTCGCCCAGTCGTCACCCGTCGTCGTCACGTACATCGTCACTACAATTCCGCTGCCGTCGAAGCAAAAGTTCATCCACTCCTCCAAAGTGGACTATGAGAACCTTGCCATGTTCCGGATGAACTCCCGCCACATAGGAAGCGAAACAAAAAAAAACACTGTCCTTTCCTGACGTTTGCAGATCTCCATGTTTCTCCCCCCCTTTCACAGAAAAGCATACGCACATAGCTATGGTCCACATCCTAAATCGACCTCACTGACTACCTTAACTTACACACCGCAGGACATGTTCAGACGGAGCCACGACCGTGTTGGCCAATAAGCTCACATGCTTAGCCATCACAACCACGCTTTCGAAGGGAGGACGGGGAGATGGGGACGGGAACAAACGTCACCCTGCCCCTTAGAAGTCTTGGCAGGAGGGCTGGACTGTGCAAGGAATCTCGCATCGTGAGAGCGTTACCGCGTACTCGAGAGCCTATTATTCAATCCCACCGTGTATATGAAGTACATGTTGACATGGGTTCCTCCCGGAGCCACCCACCCCACCTGGAGAGAATTACCATCTCAGAACCGCTGATTGGCCACATCGCACTAGATATGTTTGGGCAGTGATGGACTTTCCGGATCCGAAGTGAGGTAATAGTCGGATGGACAGCCGGCGCTCTGCCGGAGGCTTGTAGTCGGGAAATGTGGGGTAGACTGTGGAGGGGCGGGAAGGGGGGAGGCAGCAGCCGGCATGTGGGAGCCGTGGCCCGTAACGAACAAGCTCTACAGAGGTGGTCTGTAGGGGAGTCCAAACAACGAATAGGGAGCCTCATTACACGCGTCCTTCTGGTCATTATACTCTGTGATACAGTGTTCGGGGAATTTTGTTAGATTCGGGGTCCGACGATACCGCGGGATCCATGGAGTCTATGGGTGGTATGGACCCAGCATCTTGTTTCTAGCGCAATTCTTCTCTCCCTTAAGGAATCTGTTTCCACCTCGATCGCCGGAACGCTAGCCCTACGCTGTGGGTCGAGTGCGAGGACCCATAAGAATTACAGGGCCCCTCGTTCTCCATGCGGAACCATGCGGACTATGCCTCCATCATTCTCTACCTCAAGGCAGGGGGGGTTACGGACTATGGACTACAGACTACGAATACACTTATGCCTTGGTCTTTGCCCTCCGCTTCTCAATCTTTGCAAGCTCCGCATCAATCTTTTTGAAACTCCAGCTCTTCCAGAAGGGGGGATACAAGAAGGGTCGGAGGTCGAACCTATTGTCGTCGGGTGCTATTATCGACCAGTCAGTGACTTACTGAACCGGGGGAAAAGAAAGAAACTGGGTTGCGATGTGCTGCCATACAGTAGTCATTGCAGTGAAGAGCCGGTGTAAGCGTCGTCATCTTGTGTCCTTTTCGCCAAAGTTAGAACAACCTAACAGCGATCGTCTCACAAGGCAGGAACAACTCACTATTGATGGCGTAAAAGTGGAAAAACTTCTTGACCTTATCGGCCGTCTGGCTAGGCTCGTACGCGGGAGCATCATCATCGGGACCACGCTTGCGGTCGACGCTCCAGTCGTGGACAAGGCGTTGGAACATGCCGTACGGGCCCAGCTTGTTCACCTTGCGGAGGCGGCCCATGATGGTCAGCTCTTGATAGGTCATGCCCATGTCCACCTCGTCGCTCTGTACATAGGTCTCTGAGATGGGTTCCTACAATGCGATTGTGATCACGTCAGTCAGGCTGTTTGTCCCCGCAAAATCTTTTTCTTGTCAAGACAAGGGAGGATGCTGGCGCATGAGTTGAGCCGCAGCTCTTGCGCGTTCAGCGGGCGGGGCTTGAGGGGCTAGCGGGTATATCACGTACAAGCTCTGCGGTCGGGACCGCCGTTAGGAAGTCGTGGAGACACGGGATGTTGAAGTCCTTTTCGGCCCACGCGATGAAGCGTTTGAGGTCGGCTTTGTCGATGGAGCCAATCGGGTTGATATCCGCACCTAGATTTTGAGTGTCAGTCAGGCATGGAGTTAAGGTAGACTTCCTCCGATGCTGTAGAGTCGTCATGCAGTCCTTGCTCCCTTGCTAGTACTGGCAATGATACCAGGATGTAGGCAGGGAGTAGGATACCGATACTGTTGAATAACACGCAGACGGACTAGTCCAGACTTCTCTTAAAGTGATGTGGGGTACTAGCTCCCATGAATAGAACGTAGCGGGATGAAAGCTTACTGGAACAATCATATCTGAAATTAGTTAGTATGAGTCACTCCCTGTCGTCAAATTTGGATCACTGACTTGGTAAAGTAGCCTCTGAGGGACTGTGACAGTTGTTAGATGACAGCAAAGCGGAGATGGACGTGGGTATCAAAGCAAAGCAAACGCACCTCTCCGACATTTGCACTGCCCAAAACAAGCAGACCGCCACCGCCAGGTCGTCCGCGGGCCGTGGGAAGAAGCTGCCCAAACTCGTACGCGGTCACCATGCGGATTCTCGCCTGGATACACTGAAGCGTCAGATTCTCCTGGTTCGTCCCGCCTTCGACCTTGAACCTCGGCTCAAAGTTGAGCGCCGTGACGGCGAGGCTCTTTTGGGCGTTGTAGACGTCGTCAATATCGAGGTTGATGTGGTAGCTGCCAATGGCTTCGGCGAGGTCCCTGGCGCGCTGACGCGTCTCGACGGAGCTCTGCGTTTTCATGCCCATGTAGATGGTTGAGAAGATTTGGTTGCAGAGAGCCTGGGGCGTCTTGGGGAGCACGCCTTCGCCGTCGTACTTTGCCAGGCGCTTGACGTCCTCGATTACCTGGGCGTTACCCTCCTCTACGGCCTTCATTACGATGCGACACATGGAGAAGACGATTGCTGTGAAAGGGGTGTCAGTGGCGACTGATTTCAGGGGTGACTGGCGAAGGGAGAGAAAGGCGTACTCGCTGTGGCGCAAGAGTCAATTCCTCCACTCAGGGGTACCAAGTAACCTGCAGTTCCGGATCTGCGGAGATACTAATAGGGGGAGTTGGGTCAGCCGGGCATATAGAAAAGGAGTACTTGGCCCAACTCACATCCCAGAGGTAGCAGCCAGCACATAGAGCAATCTCTTCCTCAACCGAGTAATACTTGGGCTTGATAGGGGGCGAAGGGGTGATCATGATATCCGCGTCCTCGTCCTCGGAGCTAAGCTCAAAAGCAGTCTGGATCCGCTGATACTTGGCATCAGATCGCGCAGCCTGGAGACCGCGAGAGATGGCCGAACGGTAGGCGCGAACTTCTTCAAGGTCGACAGTGGCCGTGACGACCTCAACATCATTCAGGCTGAATTGCGACCCCTGAGCCACGACGTCTCCGTTGACCAAGATCATGGCGGAGCCGTCGTAGTACAGCCTGTCGCCGTCGCAACCCTGTTGATTGGCGTAGAGATAGACGCCGCCGCACTTGCGCGTGGCTTCCATGATGAGCTGGAGACGAGTGTCGAGCTTCTGCAGGGTGAAGTGTGAGCCACTGGAGTTGGTGATGATCTCTACGCCGTCAAGACTCATTGCGATGTGCGGGGCATTGGGCGTGAAGAGCTCTTCCTGTGGGTGAGTTTGTCAGCTCATTTTCCATGGACACCGAGCCAATGAACCGCCGTGCGTGGCCTCTAACGAACTCACACAGGTCTCTGCTCCAAAGCACGTATCGGGAGTGGAAACCACGGCGTCGCCAAAGATGACGTGGGTAGACCCCTGGATATCCTGGAGGATCCGGGGCAGATGGTACTCCTCCGTCTGTCTGGGATGCATCCAGGGCGTGAAGTGGCGCATTTCGCGGTAGTTACCATCGTTAGCGAGCCACATCTTGGGCCTGATCATGAGAATCTTGCCGTCGAGGCAGAGCACCCGGCAGTTGAAGCGCTGGTTGCGGTGCTGCACGGGCATACCGATGTCGAGGAGGATGCCGTGACAGGTCTCGTCGAGCAGGATGCGACGAAGCATCTCGAAACAGTGCAGGTAGAGGTCTTGCTCGAGGAGGTGGTCGAGACATCCGTAGCCGCATATCTCTAGTTCCTGCGGTGGTGTTAGACTCTAGCGCATCCTTGCAATGCTGCATCGTAGTTGGAGCTTCACAATACTTACAGGACCGACACGCAGGCGAGCTCCAGCTGCCTTTGCCTTTTGGATACTCTCAATAATTCGAGCGGCATTTCCTTCCCACTATATGTGATCCCATTTAGCATCTGCCTCCTGAACATAGATGAGGGGTCGTATGAATGGCACTTCATCTATGTTAGTTGCGGAACCCTTACGTCCAATGCCCACTGGTTCAGCGAACAAGTCGCAACAGTGATGAGATGTCCCATGCTGACCAGCTCGAGTTATCTGGACACAACGATGTGTTAGTTGTCGCCTTGAAGTTGACAAGAGACTTTGTGACGCATGATATCTTACCTTTAGTGCACCTGCACGAACTTGGCGGCAGTCAGTATAAGAGTAAATCACCGCGGGGTATGAGATGAGTCATCTAAAGGTCGGATGAATTCACTGAGCCTCTGTTTGTGGGGAAAAGCCTTCGAGAAGTTATAAAAGTGCTCACAGTCTTGTCCCTGATGTTAAAAAGACCTCAATGCCCTTCTCAACCGACTTACTCGGAGAAGTCTCGGATAGGTGGAAGCTTAGGTCGGCTGGAGACGAACATGAGCTTTGAGCGGGAAGTGTTGAACCCCTCGTGCGCTATCGGATGTTAGCACCACGGCACCGGGTACCCGGCCGCCCTAACGCCGCTTATCTATCGTGGAGTAACTTCTCTCCAGACCTTGTCACCAATACGACAACTTTGTTCTCTTGTCTCGTGCAAATTTTATGAAAACCCTCAAATTATGATAAATAGTTAATCAATTGACTTGCTCAAGAAAAAGTCACCGTCAAAGTCATCTAAAGCTGTTCATACGTCTCACATGAAAGACAAGAAGAGGAAGATACGTAGGGCGGCAGGGTATCTACATCGAACCCCTGCCAGTACCCCCCGGCCGTGGAACCCAAGCACTGACACTCCGGCGCCGCTGCGTTGGCTGCCACACATGCTGACCAGTGACAGACGCCGCTGACAATCGGCCGAGCTCTCCTCTCCTCCAAACCTGCCCCGGCACCCAAATCGCCTCGGCTCAAAAAACATCCCAACCACGGGCCCGGCTGTACCTAAACCTCACGACCTCACCAAGGTACTTTTACCAACTCCGCGATACCCTCAACGAACAAACGCCTTTGCGACTCTGACCTCACCTCACTACAAGCGCAAACGAAACCTCCCCTTAAAAACCCACGCAACACAACAATTGGATTCACAACACATCTCAACCGCGCGCACGCAGCGCAAATGCACAACACCTCTCCAAAATGACCTCCCCATCACCATCACAACCATCATCCTCCTCCTCGCCATCGACCCTCCCCTCCTCGCCCTACCCCTACGCCTCCGCCCCAGACATCATCCGCGCCCACCAGAAAGACGCCTACTACAAAGGCCACCTCTCAAACACCCTTACCTCCCTCCACCGCCTCCTCCTCGGCGCCCGCTCCGCCCACTCGGCCACCGCCCTCCACAGGCTCCTCGCAGACACCCTCTACCTCGGCCTCACCACCCTCCCCGGGAACCGCACCCTCGGCGAGGAATACTGCGACCTCGTCCAGCTCCACGTCGGCGCCGCCGATAACGACACCGACGACCCCTCCGGCGCCCTACCGACCCTGGCCCGCCGCGCATCCTACATCGCGACATCAGTCCTCCTCCCCTACATCGCAGGCCGCGCCCTCCCCGCCATCCGCGCCCGCCTCCGAACCCTCCTCGAGCCGTCAACCTCTCCAAAATCATCCTCCTCCTCAACAAAACACAAGACATCCAGAAAAGACGCAATAAAAGCCTACCTCGCCACGAACCTCCCCTCCCTAACCTCCGCGGCGCCCATCCACGCGGCGACCCTCGCAATCTTCTACTTCACGGGCACCTACTACGAGCTCGCCAAGCGCGTCCTCGGCCTCCGCTACGTCTTCACCCGCCGCGTCCCCGACTCCCCCGACCGCGCGGGCTACGAGGTCCTCGGCGTCCTCCTCGTCGCCCAGCTCGCCGTGCAATCCTACCTGCACATCCGCTCCACGATCTCCGACGCCGCGGCGGCCGCCGCAGCAGCACGCACGCGGTCCAATAGTTCCTTGCTCGACGTCTCCCTCGACGCAAACGCCTACGCCGCAAACACGGGGCTCCTCCTCACGGAAACAGGAACACCGGGCGGCAACGGCGCAGGGGGCAGCAAAGTCGACATCTCGGCCGTCACGCACACGCCCGTGATCCCCTCAGCAGACGCCTCCAGCGAACCCGGGGCGCGCTTCGATTTAAGCGACGATAAGACAATGGCCTACATTTCCGGCGCCGCGCAGCGGAAATGCACACTCTGCCTCGAGGAGCTCAAGGACCCGTCCGCCACGCAGTGCGGACACGTGTTTTGCTGGACGTGTATCGGGGACTGGGTGCGTGAGAAGCCAGAGTGTCCGCTGTGTAGACGGGAGGCTATGGTGCAGCATATTTTACCGTTGCGGATTGCTTGACTTCGAGACGATGGGCTGTGATGTGATTGTGATGTCAGGGGTGATGCTTTGTAGATATGATCATCATGTTGTAAAGGTTGGTTGCATAGCACTTTCCCGGCCGACATCAATTTGATGGAGTGAGGAGGGGCGTTGTGGCATTTGTATACCTACGAAATTCTATTGATAATGGATACACGGCTCGAGAGGGGGGGGGGGGGGTATCTCTGACGAACAACCACAATGGTTACAACATTTTGCGATTCCCAAACTTGTGTACGAAGGCAAAGAAGATGAACAAAGATATAAATATATATACCAAAGAACTGATGCCACGCCAACTTCGACTCTCCCCTCCTTCCCTCTCTTCTTCTCCCCCATCATCATTAAATCTCCTTCAACACAGCCAGAGAGAAAACTAGACGAAAAGAAGAAGAAAATAACTTTCGAATTTGCCTAATCAAAGCCTCAATCGTTTTGTACGCGCCCAAATGGCTCGGTGAAAGGCTCGAAGACCAGCTAAGAGCACGTGGGTGTGGGTTAAACGAAGAGTGCGACGATATCGGTATTTCAGAAGAAGCGGGAATCAGATAAAGGAGACCGACGCATCGACCCAAAAAAAAAAAAAAGTGTAGAGTAATATCCGATATTTCACGGCCAAAACCCCCTTGCCTTTCTCCCTTGGCCCCGTTTCCCCATCCAGGGCCATTGATGGTTTCCGATCCATCTTGTAGGTATCATGTGCCAGAGTTGCCTAGCATGGGAATATGAAACAAGAAGTAAGATAAAAAAAACACGAGAAAAGTAACAAAAATGACGCTCGATAACTCCGTTGTCCTTTATGAGTTTACCCCTTGGATATCCCGTCCGAGCCGTAGAGCGGCTAACCCCTCGAGAAGAACAGCATGATTGTGTACACATCGACCATCAGATTCAGGCCTGAAAAAGTACAATCTCGCCGCGGTCGTTACGCCTCATGCGCAGCGAGCGCCAAAGCTCCTTCTCTTCCGAAAGCTTGCCGAGGCCGTCCCCGGAGGAACTGCGCTCGCGGTGAAAGCGCTTGAGGGCTTTGTTCATGCTGCAGCCGCGCTCGCTCTCGGGGCCCTTGTTGATAAAAGACAGGAACAGGTCGGCGCGCGGGCGGTAGACCACCATCTGGCCCTCGTCGTCTCCGTCCTCGCCCTTCTTACTGTCGCGGGAACCGGGGCGGTACTCGATCAACTTGGGAGCTTTCTCGCCGTCTGATCGGTGGCGGCTGGATGAGGAGTGCTTCTTGGTGGATGAGGAGACCTTGCGCTTCTTGGTCTTGGACTTGGTGCCGTTCATGTTCAAGAGACCCATGAGGTTGCTGCCAATGCCGCCCTCCTTCTTGTGCTTGGAAGACTTGGTCTTCTTGAGCGGGCTGGCCGGTGACGGATCGGCAACGTCGCCTCCGGAGTAGTCTGGCGAAGGAGGGAAAACAGGGCGCGACATCATGCGGTTCAGACCGCCGGTTAGACCAGAGTGAGCCAAGGTTGTGGGAGGTGCGTCGACCATCATTTGATCAGTGTCGACATGGAGACGCTTGCGCTTCTTATCCTTCTTTTCGCTTCCATCCTTCCTTCTCCGTTCGTGCTTGGAAGCCGGAGTCTCGAAGCCTTGGGGAATGGCGCCAGTGCCGTACTGTACGAGGGCGCGCGGGTCCTCATCGACCATTGCTCCCTCGTCGTCCAGATAGGCCTCGGCCTCGTACTCGTAGCGCACCAGCTGTGTCTCCTCGTTCGGCTCCTTGGCACCTAGGGCAGACGCATTCGGCGTCGCTGAGGGGTCGAGAAAGTCGAAGACGTTGACGTGACCCTCGGCAGCCGAGGGAGGTGTTGGCGCTTCGGGGAGAAGGTCGGCGGGGGAGTTGGCATTGTCGCTGGCCTCGTAGGGGAAAGTTTCGAACTCGGCATCGGGAACGTCCTCAACGTATGCGTGTTGAGCCATGTCGTGCTGAGGGGCAAACGCCTGGTTGTTGTTCGTCTTGCTCTTCTTGTTGTTGTTCTTTTCCTTGTAGAGAGCACCTTGGTATTTCTGGGCCTCGCTCATACAACTCTATTCGCCGCCCGAGTCAGTGCCATGTTTCATACAAGTGACTACAATAGCCAGTGGGAGCTGATGCTACTAACCGTGTGGCTGCGATATTCAGTTCCAGGAAAGTAGACCATGCAATCGATGCAGGTGTAAGTGGCGCCTCGACAACGATTTCTGTGGGGATCGAGTTTCTTCTTGGTCATAACATCACCACAGTTCTGCGGTGAAGGAAGAAGGAGACAGGTCAGTTATGTTGCGCAGCAAGTAGGTATTCGAGAGGTTATTGGATTTTGTTGTGTTTAGAGAGGGGTGTATGGTAGGTGTTGTATGGATTTGGTCTGGGAGGCGAGGGAGGGACGGGACGAGACACTGGCTATTAAAGACAGCATCCAAAGGGGAAGTAGAGGGGGGTTTGTTTCTGTAGTTGGAGGGGTGTGTGTCTGCGATGTCTTGCCATGTGTGGTAGGTGTGGTAGGTGTGGTGTGAGGATGTGATGTCAGGCCCCCGAGTTTATAATAAGACGACATGGGGATCTTCGGAAGGGGGGGTGGGAGGGCAGGTATGTACGGAATGAGAGTAAAGGGGACCCTGGAAGACGGGATCATGGGGAAGGGAAATGGAAGGAAGAGAGAGATACGGAACGGGAGAAAGAGGGCGGCAACGGCTTACCTCACACGAAAAGGACACCATGGTGAAGGGAGCAACGCTGTATGATGATGTGTTGGTC